GCATCACCCAAGTGTGAGGGGCAGAGTTGGGAATTTTATACAGGCCACCCAAAGTCAAATGAGAGACCGCCTCCTGCCAATTACCTCCTCGCGACCCATCAGATCTCATAGATTGGGCCTCCTCCGAGTTCCATCTGCCAGTCAGTGTCGACTGGCAACTACGCGGAGGAGAGCCTTTTCAGTAGTAGCTCCGACCCTTTGGAACGATCTCCCCGTGGAGATTCGTACCCTCACCACCCTCCAGACCTTCCGCACAGCCCTCAAGATCTGGCTATCCCGTCAGGCCTGGGGTTAAAGATTATAATCCGTCCCCGCCCGAATGATGAATGTTGCTCTATTTTTTTAATTGTGTATTGTTCTATACGTCATTGTATGTATCCCCTCCTACATAAGTTGTAAGCCGCCCTGAGTCCCCTCAGGGAAAAGGGCGCCCTATAAATAAACTTATACTAAATACTAAATACTAAATGCATTTCTTTTGAACTTGGCTGATTTCAAAATTGCAGCCAATTGCTATACTCTCAGGCAGGCATTAAAATGAACAATTTAGTAAGTTCTGTAAATTCCCTGTATATTCAAATCAGCTTTTTTCAAAGCCCTGCTAAATGCATTTGTGGAGATCCAGAGAAGCATCAGAGACAGTCTCCTTTTTTTTGGTATAAGTTTGGTTCTATAAAGTGATAAAATGGAGGGGCTTTAGAGCATTTCTTGTCCTCTGAGAACTTTTAAAAAAAGGCGGCGGGGGGGGGGGGGCTTTCCTCAGCTGGCTTACAACTCTGTAACCAGATGCCTTTGCTTGTGCTGAATGCACACGTGTCAGTCCCACTCCTGCGATGTTAGCTGAAGTGGAACTATTTTTTCCTCAGAGCCAAGTATTTCATGATTTATACAGCCGTATCAAATATCTCTGGAGGACCTTGCAAGAAGGTGATGGCGAAAACCTCAGTTCTGACATTTACAGCCCAGACACAGTTGTCTGATGGAAAGCCCTCCCCTCCCCTTTTCCTCCTCCCCACCTCTCTCTGGTCACTGGCTTTGAATGGAGCCAAAGGCTTGAGTAAATCAGCAGAATTTCTTGATTTTTTCTAAGGGCCGTGAGCACTAAGTGTTTTCCGGTACCTACTTCCTCTGCCATATCTAAAACAACAGCAGCTGCTTGAACCTGATAGAGAAGCATCCCAGAGTTGAAAATTTTCACAACTGGGGTGGGAAAGAACAGAAGAAAAAAAAAAAGGGGGGGGGAATGCATTATTCAGAGAAGAGATATCACATGCCTGCATATTGCTTCTTGCTGATGATAGCCTCTAAGCCGAAAGCAATGAAGTTAAAAGCAAACTCTCTATAGCGACCATGGGAATAAGAAGTTTCCATGCTGGCTAGGAAAACAGGGAGAGCCCCAAAGCACTTGTTCTATTGTACAGCCTATCATATGTTGATTAGCTAATGTCTCCAAAGGACCGATAAGGAAGGATAAGTGACTCAGATGTGAAAGCTTTTGTCCCTTTCTTTACTCTGACTGTCTTTTTGAAAGTGTTGTGAATATTTTCATCAAGGGAAAGTTTGGGTTACGAGAAGAAGAAAAAATAACAAAGGACCAGGAAATGTCATGATGCTCAACCTGTTTTGCGTCTCAGTTTCTAGATTTGAGGACAAGCCCATAAGGTTGAGCTGCAATGCTGATGATGGCTAGTTTATTTTACTGCTGACAGGAATGCAAATATACACAGATGAAATTTCTTGCCTCAAATCATAAAAGCAATAGGCAAAAAAGATAGAACCACCGTGTCTCCAAATCCAGTTCTAGTCTCTGTATTTAAAAAGAGATATAATGGAGTAGGAGTTTCCAAACATGGCAACATTAGGACTTGTGGACTTCAACTCCCAGATTTCCTCAGCCAGCCAGGAAGATCAAGGAAATGGACATTAGAATAGAATAACAGAGTTGCAAGGGACCTTCTAGTCCACCCCCCTGCCTAGGCAGGAAACCCTAGACCACTTCAGACAAATGGTTATCCAACATCTTCTTAAAAACTTCCAGTGTTGGAGCATTCACAATATCTGGAGGCAAGTTGTTCCACTGATTACTTGTTCTAACTGTCAGGAAATTTCTCCTCAGTTCTAAGTTGCTTCTCTCCTTGATTAATTTCCATCCATTGTTTCTTGTTCTACCTATAGTTTGACTCCCTATTCTTCGTGGCAACCCCTGAGATATTGTAACTGCTATCATGTCTCCCCTTGTCCTTCTTTTCATTAAGCTAGACATACCCTGCAACCGTTCCTCATATGTTTTAGCCTCCAGTCCCCATATCATCTTTGTTGCTCTTCTCTGCACTCTTTCTAGAGTCTCCACATTTTTTTACATTGTGGGGACCAAAATTGAATGCAGTATTCCAAGTGTGGCCTTACCAAGGCATTATAAAGTGATATTAACACTTCATGTGATCTTGATTCTATCCTTCTGTTTATGCAGCCTAGAAATGTGTTGGCTTTTTTGGTAGCTGCTGCATTTGCAAATTTGATGAGTTCCCCATTGATCCCCCATTCAGATCATTGATGAA